CGCCGCGATCCCCAGGTGGTCCTGCGCGCGCCGGACGCAATCACCGCCGCCTCCGCCCTCTGCGACCTCGCCTCCGTGCGCGGCTCGATGGACAACATCACCTCGCTCGTGGTGGACGTGCGGCAGCTCTCTTGAGGTGGGCGGGGGGCAAACACGGGCGGGAGGCCTGGAGTGAGCGCCGTACGATGGGGCGCCGTGGGCCTGTACAATGCCGCTGCGCCGCCGCCGACTCGACACTCCCTTGCCCGCGTCGCGAGGGGCTCGCATTCAGCCCGCTGTCCTCTCGCGCGCCCGCCGCCAACGGGCACCGCCACAGCCATCGGCATCGCCAGCTGAGGAGGGGGAGGGTGCAGGCAAGTCCGTGTTGCGCTTTCGAACCGGATAGAAAGGGGCCCCCTCTCAACGAAAAAAAAAGTGCTCCTCTGGGGGGCGTCAAGCGAGTGACTCGTCACGACTGGATTGCAGCCTACTTTCGATTGCGACCCCAACCTGCCATTTCAATGGCGAGAACGAAGGAGACAGCAGCCTGGGCGGCGTCGGCGTTGGCCGGCATCTGGGTGCTCACGACGGTAAGCGGGCCCTCTCCAGCCATATTCCCAATCCCTTCCCTCGCCAGCCTCCCTCGCCGCTGTCGCCGCTTGCTCGCGCCCGACTTTGGCTTCATTACCCTCCCGCCGCCTCGCCGCTCTCGCCCGCTTAATTGCCCGCTCGCGCCCGATTTACTCGTATTTTGACCCTTTCCTCATCATCGCAGGCGGCTGCACCCGTCGGTGGCTACGGAGCAAACACCCCGTACAACCACGACTTCGATGGTCTCGATGAATACGCCATCGCCGTCGGCGCGTTCTCGATCATCCTTTCGCTCGTTGGGCTCATGATGTCACTCGGCAAGGGACCAGATGGCGATCGTACGCTGATTGCTGTGCGCGGCTACAACATCACGGTCTCGCTCTTTCTGGCCCTCTCCCTCGTGCGCGTCTAGATGTTAGCCATGCCCCCTCCTCCTCCAACACCGTCAACCTCCCCCGCCCCCGTCCCCTCCGCCTCCCTCCGCCTCGCCCTCTCCTCCGCCTCCCTCGCCCGTGTCCCCTCCTCCTCCGCCACCGTGTGCTCTCACCCGCTCCCGGGATCGCCCGTGCTCTCACCCGCTCCGCCCCCGCCGATCAGGCCCTCTGGAACGGCGCTGGCGCTGGCATCACGACCTGGTTCGACCCCTTCAAGCCCCCCGAGCCTGCGGCCGGGAATGGCTACTTCGCGGTTTGGCTCGGCTTCCTTATCGCCCTGAGCCTCCTCAGCACGGAGATGTCCAAGGGATCCGGGGAAGAGCCGAGTGAGTCCTCCACGCAGCTGAGCCGATCCGGCCACGCCCGATCACGCCCCGCTCCCTCTGTCTGCCTATCGGCAGGCGCCAAGGAGAGCGACGACTTGAAGTCCTACTCCCTCCCCCTCTTCGTCTGTGAGCCACACCGCCCTCCGCAGGGAAGCATGCCCTTCCGCCCCAAGCCTGAGAGCTGGCCGCGCCATCGGCCTGACTCCTAGGCGCACTCATCCTGATGCTCGACTCGATCAAGCCTGTGAACGAGGACTTCAAAGACACGACGCGGTGGCCGCTGGTGGTTCCTGAGGACTACAAAACGCGGTACCTCTCCTACGCCTACTTTGCGATGGCCGCCGCCGTCACCACCCTGATCGTCACCGGCCTCATACTCACGGGCGCAGAGGTCAACAAGGCGGCTTCGCAGGCCACCATGGCCATGACCTCCACGCCTCTACTCCCTCGTCTTGCCACACACAGCATACCCCGACCCCGCGCGCCATCTCCCCACCTCCCCACCCCCATCCACTAGCTCCCCATACGCTCCCCATCCCTCACTCTCCCACTGTCTGTACTGTGCTCGCAGGCGCTCATCCCGATGCTTGCGCTGCTGTGGACGGCGGTCGCCGGCATCCTCACCTTTTCCAACGCATCAAACTGGACCGGCATCAACAATGGCTTCTTTGCTGCGTGGGCCGGCGCTTCCGTCGCCGCCTCCATGTTCCTCGGCGGCGGCGCCGGCTTCATGAGCCAGGAGATGGCCAACTTCCGCATCTTCGCGATTGGCATCGTCGTGCTCGTCGCAGCGTACTTCGCCAAAAAAGGCCCCGCGGGGTCGTGGGACGATGGCGATAAACAAAAATCCAACATGGTTTACAAGGACAACATCGTGCCGGTGCGCTCTCACGCCGAGGCCCTCTGGTCCAGGAGCTGTCTCGTGCGGCGACGCCGACGCCGCCGCCTCTCCCCCGCCCCCCCCGCCCCGCCCGCCCCAGTTCGCCCCTCCTCTTCTCTCCAGCCCTCTCCTCCGCGCCGCGCAGGACGACCAAGCGTACCTCATCTCCGTCGGAGCCGTCAGCGCCATCCTCGCCCTCTTCGTCTACCTCTGCGGCAAGTCCCTCTGCTGCCTGTCGCCGGATACCCTCAACACGGTGCTCTTTCGCGTCGGCGGCGAGGACATGACGGTCACGCTGCTGATCGCCCAGTTCCTGTTCGTGTGGACCGGCGCGGGGGCCATCGTGGCCACCTTCGGCGTCCCTGGCGGAGGCTGCTTCTCCAACCCGTCTGAGACAGCAAACGGGTGACGCCCCCTCGCCACTGCCGACCGCCCCTGCCAGCCCAGTCCCTGCCCCCGGCGACTCTCTCCCACACTGCCCCGCGCGCCCTCCGCCTCCCCCCCCCCACACCCCCTCCCTTCCCCGCCCGTACAGCTACTTTTCCGTCTGGATGCTCCTCGGCGCCGCCGTGTCCAACCTGGCGAAGGCGATGCCCGACATGGCCGCCAAGGGCTCATACAAAACCGTCGCGTCGAGCGTCGAGATTTACTACTTCCCGCTCCTCCTCTGCTCCGTCGTCGGCATCGGTGAGCCTCGCGCGTGTGTGTAGAGGGGGAGGCGACGCGACGTCCGCAGCACGTCCTCTGTTAAACAACGGCAGGCGCAATCTTCGACGAAAACAGCATCGTCAAGCTGATCACCAAAGGGAGCGACAGCGAAGAGTACGGAGAGTACGTCTACGCCCTCTGCGTGTTCTCTGTCACGGTGCCGCCTCCCCCGCCTTGCCCCCCCCCCCCCCAGGGAGCCTTGGCGCAAAACAGCAACCACCCGGTGGTGTGGCGCGACCGCAGGCGTTCTGCTGCCTCTACTCGATCGTCCTCGAAAAGCCCCCGTTCGGGATCCTGGTGAAGAGCTTCAAGGTGCTTGTCTTCTTCATGTGGCTCAGCCTTACCGGTGCCCCATCCCCTCGTCTCGCCCTGCTACCGCTGCAGCCTCGCCTCGACTCCGCGCGAGGTCTCTCTCTCTCTCTCACCCCGGCGGCGCGTGCTTGCTGATAGGTGTCCTCACCTGGCGCACCGGGGGCACGTACACCGCGGCAAGTGCGCCATCGCTCCCGCACATATTGCGGGAGCTCCCTCTTCTGCACCCCGCGAGACCCTCGCCCACGCCCCATCCCCGCAGGCAACGGATTTTTTGCGCTTTACTTCGGCCTCTTCGCCTCCCTCCGCCTCTCCATGTCCCTCCTCGATAAGCCGGACACCGAGCCTGTCAAGACTTACGAGGAGGCGTAGACAGCATGGCAGGAGCCGCGCAGCCGCATCCCGCAAGCGCGGGATCCGGGGTTCCGGGTAGCGAGATCCCCGTCCATGACAACTAAAGAGTCGGCGAGTGGCCGAGAGGGCGTCACGGACGCGCGCTAGAGAGAGAGGCCCCAGCTGACTCTAGCGTCTGGCTCTGAGCATGTGAACATACATGTCATGACATGTCCCCCCACATGGTGAACAATGAGCATTGAGCATAGGACAAGGTAGGTACCACGAGGAGAAACTGTACATGTATTCGTTGTGTAGTGTAATCGGCTCCAAAACGCAAAATGCGGCGCACCCCCCGCTTCCATCCAAACCCGACGCCGAGTACACAAAGAAAGCGCCTCTCGTCTCTCGAGACACGAGAGACGGACTCTACACTATCTAGCGACAGAGGCTCAGGTGACAAGTCACACACACGGTTGCCATCTGCCTACACAAGCATTACTCTCACGACACACGGGGACCGCGTTCGATACATACGGCTTTACATACGGTCCTGTCGTAGACAAGGTATCACATTCACATATTTTCCCATCTGCCAGCGAGCTGAAAGCTTAAAGAAATATTTAAAGGGAGTGCATGGGAGGGAAATGGACAATTAATCAGAAGGAAAATGGAAAAATAATCAGACTGATCGATCCTGTACCGTGTTTGTTATGACCCCCCCCCCCAATGAACACACCAGCGAGGGAGGGCGAGACGATCGAGGGGTCCCGTACCACGCGGAATCGACCCTTTCCAGTGAGGGTGAACCTTCTTTTCTAGACGGCTAGGATTGAGAGCAGCCTCGCTCTCAATCCTAGAAGTCGAAGGATTGTGAGCAGCACTCCTCGCAATCGTAGCATCTCTGTACGATTGCTAGCACCCACGCTCGCAATCCTACATCTTCTAGGACTAAGAGCAGCTCCGCTCCCAAGGTGACTGGTGACGCCTACGACTACTACCAGCGCGCTCGCAATCCGAGCAAAGTCTAGGATTGCGAGCAGCACTGCTCACAATCCTAAGCAACATGCTTCCGATTGCGAGCAGTAGCGCTCGCAATCCTACATCTTGTAGGACTATGAGCGGCGGCGCTCACAATCGTACCCAAGATCCAAGGATTGCTAGCATGCGCACAGAGGGCGCTCCCAATCGCTCCAGCCGCGCGAGCGCTTGTGAGTGAGCGCGCCGGGAGGGTCTCCTCACAATCCAAACAGTGATCGCACCGATTGCGAGGGGACCCGCTCGCAATCCTAGAAGTCGTAGGAAGACTGTGGGCGGTGTCGCTCGCAATCGGCGGCGAAAGTTCTAGGATTGCGAGCGCTACTGCTCGCAATCGGAGGCAAGTTGCTCGGATTGTGAGCAAAGCTGCTCGCAATCCTAGACTTTGCTCGGATTGCGAGCGCGCTGGTAGTAGTCGTAGGCGTCACCAGTCACCTTGGGAGCGGAGCTGCTCTTAGTCCTAGAAGATGTAGGATTGCGAGCGTAGGCGCTCACAATCGTACAGAGATGCTACGATTGCGAGGAGTGCTGCTCACAATCCTTCGACTTCTAGGATTGAGAGCGAGGCTGCTCTCAATCCTAGCCGTCTAGAAAAGAAGGTTCACCTCCAGTGAGTGTCGCATGTGGCGGACGGCATGCACTGGGGTGTCCATGGGGTCCCGTACCATGAGGAATCGACCCTATCCAGTGCTCAAGGGCTCAAGTGCTCAAAGGGAGTGAAACATTGGCGGCCGAAGATTGGCAAATCGCTCCGGGATTATTACCAAACGTCGAAAATCGCGCCAACTGACGTCCTCCGCCGCCTCCGGCCGAAGAGCGCCAGCAGCGACCGGACGACCCCTCGACCGGCCCTCGCCGTCGCCGTAGCTCGCCCCCTCATGCTAAGCAGCAAGTTCTCCAAGCGCGTGTCTGAGGCTCGAAGCGCTCGCATTGCGGCAGAGTCTGCGGCCCTCGAGGCTGCTCGTGAGGAGTGTGCTGCGGCGGCAAAGCCTCCCCTCAAGTCATCCCTCAAGAAATCCGGTGGCAACCAGGCGACTCCCAACGCGCAGGCAGCCCGGGCGGCCATCGCCTCAAAAGCAGCGCAGGCGCTGGTGCCGGTCCTCGCGCGAGGTGCCGTCCCGCCTCCGTCGTGCTGCAAGCGCATCCGCTCCAAGTGCTGCTCCGGAGGATGCGGCGGCGGCCGGTGCTCAAAGTGCTGCGACCGCTCCGCAGGGGGGGCTCCAGAGGCGGTGGCGGCCACTGCTGCGGCGGGTCGGATAAGGGAGATCCGCGCCGTGATGGAGGATTCAGCTGTGGCCCGCGACTTTGCCGCAAGGTCTGGCCCCGGCGAGGAGGCGGGCACAAGCTGCGGCTCTGCGATGCTTGCGCCGTGCCGGGCGGTGCAGCATACACACAGTACTAATCTCCTTTGCTCATGCACCATCTTCATCGCTACGCTTCATTCACTTGGCCGGACTGTTCCCCTCTCCTCTAGCCCCCTGCCACCTTTGTACTAGGCGACGCAGTGCTGTCGCTCCCCGACACGAAAGTGCTCCTTACCCCGCTGCAGCTCTCCGTGCTGCGCCGCAAAAGACGGGCCGGAGGATAGGACAGAGGCTATTCTCACGCGCCTTGGTCGGGCGTCAAACTTCAACTTTTGGGTCCGTCACAACGAGAGAGACACGCACCGCACTCTACACTGTAGGCCCATCGCGCACCTCTCAGCCCGCACGCTCGCTGCAGGGACTTGGCTGGGGCAACCACGAGGCGGAGGCTCTGGCGGCGGCGTTAGCCGCTGGCTGTGCACCGAGCTTGACGGTGCTCGAGCTCCAGCGCAATCGCATCGGCGACGCAGGCGCCCGACCCCAACCCTCCCTCGCCCCCTCATCGCTCTCTCACTTTCTCCCTCCCCTTGCCCAAAGAGTAGCAAGTTCTCAGAGACGTAACCACTTCCACTGCATCGCAAAAGGCGCAGCCGCGCTGGCAGCCGCGCTGCCTGGTGCCACTGCGCTTCGCAGGTGCACCGGGGCTTGCATAATTACTAGCCTTGGAGACCTCTGCTTCTCACCTTGCCATATACTCAGCAGACTGGTTCTCGAGGAGAATGACATCGGGGATGTTGGCGCCAAGGCACTGGCGGCCGCGCTACCAAGGGCGCGCAGCCTGGAGAACGTCTTTCTCCGCGGTAACAGAGTCGGCAAGGCGCACGCAGTCTCAAGTCCAATCACACACATGCACGTAATTCACGAGGACTGGTAGCTACGTACAGTTCTCCCTCAGCGTGCATGTGCAGACGCTTGCTTGCCTTGCCTCCTAGGCGGCAGCCGCGGAGCTGCGCACGGCCGGAAAGCTGTGCGGCGTCCGCGTCCTCCTGATCTTCTCGCCGAGCCAGGTGCTCTCTTCCGCGGGGCAGCAGCTCACCACCACGATGAAGTGAGAGGGGGGCTCACTCAACAGGACCAAGGTGGCTGAGGTGGCGCTGGCGGTGTTGGGGGAACAGAGCTGAGCAGTGGCAGCTGGCAAGCTCTGGATTGCGCGTGATTGTTCAATATCTCTCTCTAGGTGAGTCTCAGAGTGACTGTTTGACTTTACACTTTTGCCTTTTTTGGTGGGGGCTCCTGCGTGATGGGCCCGCTCGCCGCTGCGCGCTGGGGCCACATAGCAACCAGACTGCAATTCATAGATGAGTAGTGTTCCCTCATCTTCAATTCTCTCCGCGGGGGCGCGAGACGCGTGGCTCGCGCGTCACACACCGCGCGGACAGAGCCACAGACAGAGAGACACACTGCACACACTCCCCGTCACAGTGTGTCACTCCACCCCACTAAAAACCGTGTCGGTCTCTCTGGGCGGGGTGCCGCGCTCACGCGACCCGATACAGCACACCATCCCCCAAATCAACCAAAGTCTCTGATTGTCGCGGGCCAGCACGAGCTCCTCACTCGGTGGGCGCCTCTCATTCGTTCGTGCATCCCCCGCTGAGGGCAGACACCTCGGCGAGACCAGGGCACCACGCAACGCCTCATTGAGTGTGGACCACTCGCGGGCTGCCCCCGGCTTTGCTCTGGAATGCTCGCCCCAGCTCCGCCCAGCCCGGCAGCGACGCGCCTCCAACGCTTCATGGAAGGTGCGGCTGCAGGCCGAGGCGGACAGCGAGACCCACGTGCCTCGGAAGCCGGTTCCACGAGCCGTTGAGGATGGAGAGACGCGCGTTCGGGCGCAGCTGCTTGGCGCGCGAGTGCGACGGCTGGCGCGGCTTCCTCAGCATCGCCGTGTCGAGTCCTCCGAGCTGCGGCGTCGGCCCTTGCGTCGGCACCTCGGCTGCGGCGCGCCGAGCCCGCGCCGGAGGCCGGCCGCGGAGGCCGTAGTCCTTGGAGATTCGGCGCAGCAGCACCTTGGCCGCGCGGCGGCGAGAGAGGCGACCGGAGCCGTCGGCGAGAGGCGGGGCGGCGGTGCCTCGTGGGCCGTCGGAGGCTTGGCCGTCAGAGGCACCGGGCGCCGTCCCGTCCTCGCCCCACGTCAGGACGCGAGAGAGAGGGGCCCAGTGACGGCCGGGGCGGCCCGAGGCGGCGGAGGCGGCGGCGATCCGGAAGAAAAGCTGCGCCTCCCGGATCTACTCACACAGTTGCGAGGCGTGTGAGAAGCAAGGGCGCCTGCACGCTGGCCGAAGCACCGGCAGCAGGAGGGGCCGAAGACGCAGGGAGACAGAGCACCACTGCCGGGCTACCTTAGGGTACATCTCGGCGATACCTCGGCCGTGTTTTCTCCCTCTCGGGGCCGTGTCCTCTCCCTCTCGGGGCCACATACCCGCACGGAGAGGACGCCGGGTGTCGCCGCCGCAGCTGCGCCGCCGATTCCGCCGCCCCGCGCCGCCTGGACGCGCTTGCGTGAGAGGCGGGAGAGGTGGGGGGAGCGAGACTCGCGCTCCGGAGAGCAGGCGGAGAGCAGCGGCAGCTTGCCGCTCTCGCGCTCCTCGGCGAGCTCATCGTCTTCCTAGAGCCAGACGTCGCCGAGATGTCGCCGGGAGATCGCTGAGAGCTGCAGCGGCCATGCTCTCTTCTCCGCCTCGGGACCGCCGTCCGCCGAGAGAGCAGACGAGTCGAGCTGGACAGACGTGTCCTGTGGCGGCGTGGGGCTGCGGCAGTGGGGGGGACGCCAGCCCGCATTCGGCGTACACCCCCACGCGGGCGAAAGAGGAGAAGCGAAAGGGGAGGGGGCGGGGCGGTTGCGTCTCGTCTGCATCTCGTCTGCATCTCGTCTGCATCTCGTCTGCATCTCGCGCCTCTGGCTTCGAGAGCAGGAGCTGCCAGACGGCCTTCGACTCCGCCTCGAGCCCCTCCGCCGCGTTGCCTGTTCCACCGTGAGAGGTGTGAAGAGACTCGTGCACGGAGACAGTGCGTCGCGGACTCGACTCGGCCGCTGTGCCGCGCAGGTCCAGCGAGAGCATCGGTGGCGACTGCGAGTCGCGGGGAGAGGGGAGTTGGGGGGGGGGGGGGGGGAGCAGCCCCCCAGCAGCGAGGGCGGAGGATGGCGGATCTTTGGCTGGGCACGAGTCACGGCACCCCTCCGCCTCTTCCGCCTCTTTTCCCTCGGGAGGGGAGCCGCGCTCTCGGGCCGCCCCCAGCTGCCTCGCCTGCAGGGCTGCGGAGCGGAGCAGAGCGAGGCACCTACGAGATTAGCTCTACGCGCGCCACTCGCACACTCCGCGAGACGAGCCGAGCTTGCAGCTCGCGAGGTGAGACACGCGGCCAGCACGTGTCGGACAGAGCTAGGGACAGGGAGCCGCAGCGGGCCGGGTGGCCGGTGGCGGGAGGCACGGCGCCGGGGAGAGAGGGCAGGCGCACCCGTCGGCGCTCAGCCCGCACGAGCGGAGGGAGAGGTGGCGGAGGGTGGAGGGGCGGTCCTGCAGCAGCGCCTGCGAGACCTCCTTCCCGAAGCAGCGCCGCTGCCCCCTCCCCCCCACCACCGCACACCCGAGCATCTCGAGCTCCTGCGCGTGTGTCACCGCCTTTGTCATCGCGGGGAGAGGCACGCGCAACGCGTGTGCCAGTGGTGTGCCGTCAAGAGTGTGGCGGGGGAGACAGCGCGTGGAGGCACCTCTCTAGTGCCTCCCTGATCGCGCCGTCTGCACGTTGGCGCATCTCGGCGCATCTCGGCATATCTCGGCGCATCTCGGCGCATCTCGGCATATCTCGGCGCATCTCGGCGCATCTCGGCACATCTCGGGTTCTTAACATTTATCATCCTACGGGCGGCCGCACCTCCAGTTGCACACAGCCCTGGAGGCCGCATAGAACCGCCTGGCGAGCCGGGGGCGCAAGGAACAGGAGATGTGAAATATGAAGGGGGGGGGGGGGGGGGGGAGGCGAGGGCGGGGGTTGCGGCATCGTGGCGGGAAAGAGGGTCGGGTAGGTCCTCGGGCAGCACAGGTGGGGTCGCAAGCGTCTCTCGCACTCACCCGGAGGGCGTTCTTGCCGTCGAAGCGCCAGCCGAGGAGGGAGACGCGGCGCAGCGTCCCGCGGCAGCACGAGAAGCCGCGCGCGAGGGCCACTGCCACTGAAAGCGACAGCCCCGCCTCTTCCGGGTCGGAGGGCGCGCGAAGCACCGCCGCGTCGACCGCACGCTCCGCCATCGTGAAGGGTGCTCCGGTCTCGTCGAGCTCCGCGACGGTGTGCAGCCGCGAGCGGTCGAGCACGATCCCCCACGGCTCGCCGCCCGCCTCCGCTTCCGCGTCTGCTGCGGGGTCTGACGTGTCGGCCGCGAGAGCCTCGCTCCGCCACTCGCCAGTGCCGGAGAGCCGGAGGTGGATCTTGGGCGGCGCCTTTGCCGCGGTGGGGCTCTGGAAAGCCGCGCGCTCCGAACCCCTCTCCCTCTCTGCCTGGCGTGCCGCGACGGCCGCACGGCGCGAGGCGGGGCTCGCGTCGACGAGCGCGTTGCTGGAGCAGAGCCCGAGGTGGCCCTTCTTGAGGGTGCAGCCTGGCGTGCCGCAGAGGACGGGTTTTGGCGTCGAGCTCATAGCTTCCCTGTTTGCCGCCTCAAGCGCACAGAGTCGCCGTGCGGGGAAAAAATTTCCGCGCGCGCCGTTTACATTTCCTCGGTCACTGCGCAAGGAGGGGGTGCGTCGACTTTTCTTTTCGCTTGTTTTTTTCTTTTTTGTCCTCTCGGGGGGAATGTTCTCTCGGCGCCCATGCGCCATGGCCTTCTGAGGTTTCGTACTAATGACGTCCTTCTTGGCACTTCGGGCGTCGGTGTGTGCGTGTCTGTGGTGTCTAAATTCCCCCGGTATGCTATATAGGTCGCCAGTTCGACCCCCCTCTCACTCGCCACTTTCTCCCTCCTCGCGCTCAACACACACACCTGTCTTCACCTACCGCGGCTCCAACGGCAGGCTCTCCGCCGCGCTCCGGTTGGTTCGCGCGTGTCTCATGCCCCACGCCGCCATCGTCTGCTCCTCTGCAAAGCGCACCGTGCGCCGGAACGCCGGCCAGCACTTGGCCGCGCGCTCGGGCTCCTTGCCCGAGCAGAGCTGGCAGCCCGCGAAATGCAGGGACAGGGGCACGGTGCCCAGCCCGAACACCTTTCGCCGCAGCGGCGGGAGGCGGAGGGCGTCCGGCCGCCTCAGCAGAGCGAGCGAGCGCGGCGTCTCTCGATTGGCCGTCGGATCGCCGAGGGCGGTCGGCATCGCATGCTCAAAATCCTCCCAGTGCGCCTGCGCGGGCAAATCTAGGGAATGTGAAGGACGACGGGCCAAGCCCCAGCATCTCCGCTCCCTAGAACAGCGCCTGCAGCAGGAACCGGCGCTCGAGCAATGCGTGCCGCAGCAGCGCACCCGTGCCTAGCCGGTCACTCCGCAGCAGGTCGAGGAGCACGGCCTGGTCGTCGATGCAGCCGGTGCACAAGTTGGCGACGCTAGTCTGCAGATTGAGCGCGCGGCGGAGGCGCTGTCCGCGGGTCCGCCCGCCGCGCGAGAGCATGCGGCGAAGCAGCGACAGCGTCCAGTTGTGCACTCGCAGCAGCATCACACCTACGAGAAGGCTAGGCCGCTCCCGCCCACGTCGACCTCGGGCGCTCAATCTCGCCCGGCTGTGCGCACCTGTGTTTGCCTTGAGGTAGTCCGCCGGTGCGTCTCCCTCCCCGAGGGCGGCGGGGTCTCCGCCCAGTACCAACCGCACGCCGCGAGCCTAAAACAGTGTTCAAGCAGGTTATGACATGCACATGCACATGCACCAGCCGCCCACCGCCTGGTGCCTCATATTCCTCCAGCGGCAGCTGGTGGCCGAGGTCGGTAAAGACGACGTCCCAGTCTGCCCACAGCACCCACCTGCTACCCTCTCGGCCCCCAGCCCTCACCGCCTCCTCGCTCGCTCCACGGCTCTGGGCGAGCCGCTCCGCAAGCACGCTGCTGAGGTAGGTCAGCTTGTTCCACGCCCCGTCGTAGGCGGCGTTTATTTGCGCACTGGACCAGACGAACCCCTCCAGCTGCTGCGCAAGCGCATACTCAGCCTTATTCTGCATCGCCCGCTGCACCCACGCGTCGGCGCCAGCCTCGGCACATGGAGTTGGCTGCCGTGCAGAGACGAGCAGTGCTGACCGCAGAGCGCGGCCGCGCACATCGCCGCCGCACCGTCCGCACGAGAGGTCGCAGACGCGGCTCATGAAAGGGAGGTGGCATTTGTCCCACAACGCCTGCTGCAGGCAGGAGCTTCCGTCGCCTGGAGCAAGGTCCACACAGCTCTTGGGCGGCACCAGAGTTGTCTTGGGCGGCACCAGAGTTGGCGGTGGTGGCGGCGCATGCAGAGCTTGGTGTCGGGCTCCGGGGCAAGGCTCTGGCCCTTGCCAGAGGTAGATGCGCAGTAGCAAAGCGAGGCTGAGGCCGAGGAAAAGCAGCGGGGGCACTTGCATTTCGCATCGCGGGACGTGCCCGCCGCCGTCGACGCCACGATGGCCCAGCTCGACGACGCCAAATACGCCAAGTCGCTCCTCAAGAAGCTCCGCCAGATCGAGGAGCTCAAGGCGCTCCGAAGCCTCGACGCCGCGCAGCGCCAGAAATTGCAGGGCGAAGCCGCGCTGCGCGCCAAACTCGCGACGCTCGGCGTTGCGGCGCCGCCGCCGTCGACGACGCCGGCGCTCTCGGCGCGCGAGCTGCGCGATCGGATCGGCGCCGCGACCTCGGCGGCCGAGGTGCTCGACGTCGTCGCCACGGCGCCCAGCAGCCTCGACGGCCCGACGGCGACGCACGCGCTGTACTGGCTGGCGCGCTGCTGCGCGTCGGAGCGCTCCGCCACAAGGGAGAAGGCGGCCGCCCTCGACGCGGCGGCGCTCGCGCAGCTGGTGAGCCGCCTCGAGCAGACCGCGAGCGGCCTCGGCGCACGCGAGGTGAGCAAGGCGGCGTCGGCGCTCGGCAAGCTGCTGCAGCGCGCTGGTGCGGACGCGGAGGCGCCTTCGCTGCGGCGCGCGCTGGCGGCCGTCACCGACTGCTGCGTGCGCGGCGCCACGGCGCTCGACGCGCAGGCGGTGGCGACTGTGCTTCACGCGCACGCGAGCGGCGGCTGCGCGCCAGCCGAGGCGTCGATGCGAGCGCTGCAGCAACGCGCTGCCACGCTCGCGTCGGACGGCGACTTCAACCCGCAGGATTCTGCCAACACTCTGTGGGCCTTCGCCAAACTCGGCGTGCCTCCCGACGGCGCGCTGGCGGCGGCGCTGGCGTTGCGCCTCGCCGACGGCGCGGCGGCGGCGATGAAGCCGTTTGAGCTCAGCTCGACGGCGTGGGCGCTCGCCAAGCTGCACACGGCGGGACGGCTGCCCGACGAGCTCGCGACCGCCGAGGTTGTAAACGCGCTGCACGAGGCGGCCGCGACGAGCGTGGTGTGGATGAATGCGCAGGCGTCGGCCAACACTTTGTGGGCCTTTTCGCGCCTCGAGCCGCCGCCGCCGCCCGCGCTGTGCGACGCGCTGCTGCGCCGCGCCGAGGCGTGTGCGCGCGACATGAGCGCCCAGGGCGTCGCCAACGTCTGCGGCGCGTGCGCGCGCCTCGGCGGCGCCGCCGACGTGCCGCTGAGCCTCTTGCGCAGCGCGCTGGGCGGCGCCAGCCTCGGCGCCACCGATCTTGGCGAGATTGCGCGGGCGCTCGGCGTGATGGTGGCGGCGACGGTGGGGCCGCCGCCGCTACTCTTCCAGGTCGGCGCGGCGGTGTGCCAGCGGGCGGCCGCGCTCGCCGATGCGGAGGGCCTCGACTGGCAAGCCGCCGGCCTCGTCGAGTTTGGCGCGCGCGCGCTGCAGCGCAGCGTCATGGCGGCCGAGGGACAGCCCGTGCCGCCCACCGCCGCTGCGCTGCCCTCCTCCTCGTCGTCGTCGTCCGCCGCCGCCGCCGCCGCCGCCGCCGCCGCCGCCGCCGCCGCCGCCGCCGCCGCCGAGGCGCCCGTCCGCCGCGCGGCGCTCGCGGCGGTGTGCGCGGCGCAGACGCGGCGTGGCGACGTTGACGCGGCGGCGGCGGCGGCGGCGCTGCCCGTTGTGCGCGCGTGGGCGCTGCCGCGCGGCGCCACTGTGCTGCTCGCGCTGACGCCGAGTGCCGGCGGCGCGGCGGAGACGCTCGAGGCCGCACTGCGCGGCGCGGGGCTCCGCGTGTGCCTCTGGCGCCGCATGAGCGAGAAGGGCGGCGCGGAGGCGACGGCGTGGCCGCCGAGCGGCAGCTTCGACGGCGCGCTCCTGCGCCTGCCGCACACGCGCGGCGCCTTCGAGTACGCGCTGCACGCGGTGGCCGCCGTGCTGCGCCCCGGCGCACCGCTCGCCGTCTTCGGATCTCGCGCCGAGGGCATCGCCACCGCCGCGGCGCGGCTGCGCGCCGCGCCGGCCGCACCCGCGCCCGCCGGAGCGGCGCTCTACGAGGGCGTCGCCTTCGCGCCGTCGGCCACGGTGCCGGGCGGCGGCGAGGCCGCGGCCGTCGGCGTCGTGCGCGCCACGCGCGCGGGCGGCGCCGACGCCTCGTTCGGGCCCGCGACGTGGGAGGCGGCGGCGACGCTCGACGCCGCCCCGCCGCCCTCGACGACGACGGCCCGCCCTCCGCGCCGCGTCGCGCCGCTGCCCTGGGTCACGCTGCCCGGGCTCTTCGCGGGCGGCGGCCTCGATGTGATGACGACGGCACTCCTCGCCGCGCTGCCGGAGCCGCCGGCGCGCGCGCGCGTGCTCGACTTCTGCTGCGGCTCGGGCTCGATCGCCGCCGCGCTGCGCGCCGCCGGCGGCGGCGCCGCGCTCCGGCTCCACCTGCTCGACGCCGACGCCGTCGCCCTCCGCGCCGCGCGACGGAACGTGGCCGACGCCACGGCGCACGTGCTCTCCGACGGCTTCGCCGCGCTGCCGCGGCGGCCGCGCTTTCACTGGATCGTTTCCAACCCCCCCGTGCACAACGGGCTGCAGTCGGACTTTCGCGTGCTCCGCCTCCTCGTCCGCCGCGCCGCGCGCCGGCTCCGCTCCGGCGGCGAGCTCTTCATCGTGGTGCAGACCTACGTGCCGCTCGGCGCGATGCTCGCCGATCAGCCGAAGCTCGAGGACGTGCGCACGCTCTCCGACGATGGCCGCTTTAGCGTGTGGGCGGCGAAGAAGCGCGCAAGGCGGGGCGTGGCGGGGAAGAAGCGGCGGCGGGGCGAGGCGTGAGTTATTCTAAGGGATGCCGCTTTTTGTGGGACATTTTAGCGGCGGTTTAGTTTCCAAGTACGACTTCTAGGAAGGAGCTCTAGCGATAGAGGACCCCATGTCGCCACGCGGCGCGCGGCTCGTCGTCGCCTTGCTGCGCTGCGCCGCCGTGGTCGCGATGGCCATCGGCGGCTCGCAGGGCCGTGGCTCGCGCTGGGCCGTAAGGAGCCCCGTGCGGCCGGCTGGGGTGCAGCAGGCCGTGCGGCGATGGCGGCGGGCGGGCCAGCAGCGGCGCACCGCCATCGGCCGGCGCAACGCGAGCCGCATTATCGAGCTTTGGACGTGCCAGGCCGGCGGCCACGAGTGGGGCGGCCTCGGCGTGAACAGCACCACGCTCTGTGAGTGGCTCTCGGGCGAAGACGGCGCACCGGCGGAGTTGCTGCAAGCTCTCGGCGCTGCCGGTGCGCGAGAGGCGCACGCACCGGCGGCTGCGGGGCCTCTGGCGCTCGTCGCGCCTGCTCGTCTACGGCACGTCGCTCGGGCAGCTCGCCGAGGAGACCGCGCGCCTCTCGCCCGAGCGCGCCTTCCGGCGCGAGCTGCGCGCGCTGGCGGGCCGCGCCCGGCGGATGCCGCCCGCGTGGCACGAGAAGCCCGCGCTGCTCGACGCACCGGCGTAAGAAAAAAATTCGCGAGAATTTGGCTGGGCACCCAAGCGGAGCGGGGTATATAGGTCACGCATGCATGCAGCGAGGAGACAATCCAATCGAAGCGGGGCCGCCGCGGCAGCGCCTCGATGCCGTCGGAGAGCACGTGCGCCCTCTCCGACGGCTTTAGGCCTTGCCTTGGCGTTCCCGCTTCGATTGGATTGTCTTTTATCCGGCTTTAGGCCTTGCCTTGGCGTTCCCGCTTCGATTGGATTGTCTTTTATCCGCCGGTGCACAATTGGCTGCCGACCGACTTCCGCGTGCTCCGCTCCTCGTCCGCGGCGCCGCGCGCCGGCTCCGCTCCGGCGGCGAGCTCTTCATCGTGGTGCAGACCTACGTGCCGCTCGGCGCGGTGCTCGCCGATCAGCCGAAGCTCGAGGACGTGCGCACGCTCTCCGACGACGGCCGGTTCAGCGTGTGGGCCGCGCGGAAGCGGGCGCAGGGCGGTGGAGGAGGCGAGAAGAAGGCGATGGCGGGGAAGAGGAAGCGCGAGGGATCGTGCCCAGTGTTGTGCGAGAGAGCTGGAGTCCCGTTGTAATTCTTTCCCCCCTATGCGAGAGAGCGAGAGAATATGTGGACACGTGTGGTAAATTTCTTTTAATTGAATTAATTCGCTGGCACTCTCTTCCTGCCATCTCTATCTGGAGGTGCGCAAGGTCGTGACGGTGTGTAGTAAGCGCCGCCGCCGGGGCAGAATAGGAGACATCCCGCTTGCCCTCCTAGCTCCTTGGACCTTGCCGGGGTCCGCGCCGCTCTCTCACTTCTGGCAAAGCGCCCGCTCGTCGCGAGTCAATTCGCGACCCCTCTCGACGCACTCCGCGGCAGTGACGTTACAGGAGCCCGAATTGAAATTGGGGAGACCGGGAGTGGTCTGCTGTCCCCAGCAGCCCTTCTGCCTAGACCCATGCTTGCAGCTTTCCGACGAGTAGTGGCAGACGTAGTACCCCCCACTGCTGCCGCACCTGTGCACGGCAGCGATGCGCTCAAATCCCCGATCGTGAGAGTCGAGTGTGCGCCCCACTAGTGCGCTTACCCGAGCAAGGTCGCCCCTTTCCAGACCATTGCCGTGAAGTGTCCAATCATGCCTCCTGGGCAGCGGGGAGAACGCCAGCCCCCGTTGTCGGTTTTGTTCGACCAGCAGTCCATGTATTCTCTGTACCATCCCCACACCGCACAGTGTTGGTTGTACGGTCCGCTGTACGCGTCGCAATCGAACTCCCCATACCTAGAGGTGAAGATTTGAAGTTGTTCACGTGCAACAACAGGGCCGAGTCATGTCGTGTGCGTGCAGGGCCGGCCTCTCTCTCAAGTTGCGCCGAAGCGGCGCTCTCTTTCCCCGGGCTATGCCCGGCCTCGGCCTCGGCGCTTCTCGGCTAGTCTCTCGCACCCCATCGCAAGGTTCTCCCCGGAGGCATAAAATGAGCCTGTAATGCCGGTTTTCTCCATTCGGTTTGTGTTTGCGAGGCCGTCACCGTGGCCATCACCATTCCAGGTGTACGAGTCGCTGTGTCCAAAGTACTCATTGTCGGCGAGGTAGTTTGCCCACGTCTGCGCTTTGAGGGCCAGGTTGTCGTTCCATCTCAACGCAGGTGCGTTGTGCTTGCTCCGGTAGTAGTTGTGGTCCTGACAGCCGATGAAGGGTGCGGAGCGTCAAGGCAGGGATTGGGAAGGGGAGAAGGGAACTACAATGCGGCTCCTGCAGCCAGCCATCCTTGCCCTCCTTGCTGCCCATGCAGTCTTTCGGCGCCTTGCTATATTTGTCTCTTCCTGTAGGGCTGCTCGCGGGTTTCGGCGCCGGAGCTGGCGCAGGGGCAGGGCCCGATGAGCCGTCCCGGCACGTGCCGCAGGATGCGGGGCAGGCAGCGGCGACACTCGGCTGGTCGCAATAAGACGGACTCTCCACAAAGTCCTTGCAGGTCATCTTCTTAGTTTTGGTGGTGAATTCCGCGTTGCTGTCCCCCATGTTTGGGGGGCACGGAGGAGGAGGAGGGGAGGGCGACGGTGGCGGGGGGGGCGGCGGTTTCGGCTTGGGCTGCGGCTTGGGCTGCGGCTTGGGCTGCGGCTTTGGTGCGGACACGCACACGCCGCAGGTGGCGGGGCACCTTTCGCGCACAAAGTCGCGACCGCAGAACCCGTTGCTTCCAGCGCTTTTGCATGTCTGGCCAACCCCATTATAGGTAAAACCAATCTGCCCTGCCATGTCGACGCAGTCTGGACATACGCCACAGGTCGTCGGGCAGGCGGTCTGTACCGCGTAGTTGCCGCCCCCGAAGTCGTAGTTGCAGAAATCGTAGGGTTCCTTGAGCTCGGTGCATGTCGGGCGGCCGACAAAGTCGGTTGCGCCGACTTTGTCGGCCTTCCAGCACCCCTTCTCCATTGCCACCACCCTCACCAGCGAGTCCGCGCCCGGCGTGGCTCCAGCCTTGTGGAGTCGGGTCAAACAAGCAGCGACCACGCCGCAGAGCAGCAATGCCGCCACCCCTCTGACGGTGCGAATCGGCGCGCTCACGGAGGCGGCAGTGGCACCGCTGGGCGCGGCAGCGGCCGAACTGGCATCGATCATGTCGGCGATCTTGCGATTTGACCCCGACGATCGGCGAAGTCCAGGCTATCAATGGTTTGTGATTATTAGTGCATCTTGAGCACTTGAGCACTGGATAGGGTCGATTCCGCATGGTACGGGACCCCTCGATCGTCTCGCCCTCCCTCGCTGGTGTGTTCATTGCCATTCAGTGTTAGTGCCACCAGTGCGCGCCAGTCCCGTGCCTAGTGTCAAAGCGGAAGAAAAACGCAAAAGAAAATTCTCTTCCGACGGAATGGCAGCTTCGCCTTGCGGCGACCCGTGGAGTCTCCACTCCCTCTCCGTCCTCACCGAGTCCGTTCGCTGCCAACACGGTACAGGACCAGCCGCTCGCGTGTTCCGCTCAGGGATATGTCGCCTTCGCTGCCCCCCCGCTGGCGCTGGCTCGCTCTCCGAGCCGGCCGCTCCCTCAACCGAGCCGCGCTGCCGTTCCTCCGCGACGCCGACCTGAATGACGATGACTACGAGCTTCAGCCTCCGAAGCCAAAGCTCGAAATGCTGCAGCTGATGGGGATCGCCTTCTTCGCGGTGTCGGGCTCGGCGTACGGCGTGGAGGAGATCGTACCTCTGGGAGGTCCCTTCCTCTCCCTCGCCGCGCTGGTCATCGCACCCGCAGTCTGGTCGGCGCCGATGCTTCTCGTGACGGCAGAGCTGAGCGTGGCGCTGCCGCGTGCGGGCGGGTGCGCGGCGGCGAGGCTGGGAGGGTGTGAGGAGACGCACTGGTCTCACCGCGGTCGTGTGGTTAGGTACGTCGTGTGGGTCGAAGAGGCGCTCGGAGCGATGCCGTCGCTGCTCAACGCGATGGCAAACCTCGCCTGCTCCGTCCTCGACTGCTCACTGCGCCCCGCTGCTGCTCGCGCCGAGCTGGTACGGGCAGCATCTCGTCACAGCCTGGCCTGCGAACAGGTACCCGCTGCTCCTGACAGCCTACCTGCACAAGGCGCTGCTCTACGACGCCTCCTCCGCCGCCTACTCCGCCTCCGCCGCCTCGATCCCCACCAACGCCACGACCGCCGCCGCCACCGCCGCCGCCGCCGCCGCATCGGCGCTCGCCGCCGCCGCCGAGCCCTCCTCCGACCCCCTTGCGGCGGACCCTTCCTCCTTTGAGGCGGAGGCTGGGTCGGCGGGCGGCGCAGAAGGGGTCGCCCTCGCGGTCGTGCGCGTGCTGCTCGTCGCTCTCGCCGCGGCGCTCAACGTGCGAGGCGTCGACGTCGTCGGCTCTGCAGCGGGCGTGCTGATGCTCCTCGTCTCCCTCCCCTTCGCCGCCCTCGTCCTCGCCGCCGCCGCGGCGCCGCACCCCCACTGGGCAAAGGCGCGCCCGACTCCAGACGATGCGCCGGAGATACCTCGGGCACACCTCGGGCTTCCTCGGGTCTAGCTCGGGCACACCTCGGGCTTCCTCGGGTCTAGCTCGGGCACACCTCGGGCTTCCTCGGGTCTAGCTCGGGCACACCTCGGGCACATCTCGCCGGGCGAAGGCGCTCGACCCACGGAACCTTCTCGCAACCTTCTCGCAACTTCCCGCAGGCGCTCGACCCGGACCCGCGCCTGTGGCCCTCCGGGCGGGAGGCTTGGTTCTCCTTCCTCTGCATCGTGCTCTGGAACTGCTGCGGGTACGACTCGGCAGGCATGGTGGCGGCCGAAGTGCGCTCGCCTCGCTCCTCCTTCCCGCGCGCGCTGTGGGGCGCGCTCGCCCTCTGGCCGACGCAGCCGCACAGCTTTCTGTTGTCCACCACTCACCGCCGTCTTTGCAGGCGCGTTCGCCCTCTCGACGGCGCTGTACGTGCTGCCACTCGCCGCCGCCCTCGCCACGCTCGACCACTGGGAGCAGTGGGCGCCAGGCACTTACCCGCTGCTCGGCGCGTCGCTGGGTGGAGGTGGGCTCGAGGCTGCGCTGACTGCCGCGTCGGCGGTCTCGATGGCGGGTGTGCTCTTCACGATCCTCTGCACCTCCTCGTGCGCGCGGCGGCGATGGCGACGCTGCGCAGTGATCAATCAGTGATGTATGGAGGAAGCGTTGAACAGGCGCGCGCTGCTGGCGATGGCGACGCTGCGCATGCTGCCGCCCGCGCTGGGCCGGCTCCACCCGCGCTTCGGCACGCCAGCGGCGGCCATCTGCGCCAACGCGTCGCTGGTCGCGCTGGCGACGCTCTGTCACCCTCCGCTCCCACGTTCCTGGACACCACCTGGACAGTGCCTGGACACTTCCTAGGCGACGCTCACCCTCCGCTTCGACGACGCGCTGCAGCTGTCGATGCTCTTCTACTGCGGCTCGGCGGCGCTGCAGTGCGCCGCTTGCGCGCGGCTCCGCTCGATGCACCCGCAGCTGCCGCGACCCTCGCTGCTGCTTCCCACGCCGCTGCTCGGGCTGCCGTGCGCTGTCGCGTGCCTCGTCCTCCTGCTCGCGCCGCGCCGCCTCCTCGCCACCGCCGCCGCCGTCCTGGCTGCTCTCGGCGGCGGGCATGCCGCGCTGTCGGCGCTGACGGTGCGGTGTGCCGGTCTCCGCTCGCGCCACACCGCCGCCCGGCTGGATCGGTCGAGCTCGCGCGGCCTCCCGCGAGGCTTCCCCTCCCTCCTCGACGAGCTCTTCCGCCGGCCCGGGCTGCCGCCGGCGGGGCGGGTGACGGGCTACCTCCGCAACTCGTACGACCGCGTCCCGTACTCGGAGCGCTGCGCCGCGTATGCTCGACCGCTGCGGAGAAAGAGGGCCTCTCTTCACTCCTCCAGCTGCGAGCAGGAGCGCTGCGCCGCGTCACGCATGGTCGACTCCTTCGAGATGGCGGACTTGTCAAGCTCGGCGACCTTCGACGGCGAGCGCGCTCGCGAGAGCCACGCGTGCCGCAGGAGAAGAGGCGCTCCTTCACGCGCGCCGTCGTGGTTTGAACAGGCGACGCCTTCGCCGCCCGCGTGGAGCACGAGCTCGAGACGCGCCGCAGGCCGCTGCGCGCCACTGTCGACACACCTCGCTGCTCGCTGCCGCCGTTGCCGTGTGCGCAGCTGTCGCGCGGAGGCTCCACGGCTGCGGCCGGCGGCGGCGAGGAGGGCAGCAGAGGAGGCGACGACGGCGAGGTGCTGCCTGGGGTGTTGGGCTAGGTGCTGAGCTAGCGAGTCGGTGTGCGTATGATTCAGAGAGAGAGCAAAGTGTGTGATGTCCGGTGAATTATATTTTATATCAGCCATTTTCCATTCCGGACATCCTTTTTGCCTACCTGAACGTCCTTTCGCCAATTCGCCCGGACGGTGCCGTGGACGATCACCCACTCCCACACCGCCTCACCCGTACTCGAGTCCCTCGACTCTCCGAGACTCCGACTGGGGGGCGACTCCCGCCGCCTCGAGCAGTATCTCGCGAGTGCGAGTCGCGTGCCGCCGGGCCCGGGTCGTAACCCAGATAGCCCACTTCCTTCTCTACGGGTAGCCTGCCTTGCCGCTCATGCGGACGTAGTCGTCGGAGTCGAAGCCCGACCCCTTCTTGGGGCCGCTGCCGACCGAGATGGCTATGGACTGGCGGCCCGTTATCCTGGGGGCGAGGGGCGCGCCCTCTTCCCCCGACCCAGCCTCCGTCCCGGCGAGTTCGTGGAAGGCCAGCGCGCCGAGCAGGATGACGCCCCCCAATATTGTCCACGGCGAGGGGACTTCGCCAAAGGCAAAGAAGACCCACACGGGTGCGAATACCGTCTCGAGCAGCATGATGAGCGCCGTGTCTGCGCCAGAGATGTACCGCGGCGCGATGACGAGCGCGAGGTTGTACATGGTAATTCCGAGTCCGCAGAGCAGCACCCATAGCCAAAAGATAGGCTGGATCCCCTCGAAGGGGTCAGTGATCCCCTGGTCGTACGCAACCTTGTACGAAATACAGCTCGTGATCGCGCCAGAGAGCGTGCCCGTCGCCGTCAGGTCCGTCTCGGGCGACACCTTGCCGAGGTAACGTGCCCACGTGATGAAGAGGGCCATAAACATGCCTGTAAAGAGAGGCCATAGCAGGAGCAGGTTGCTGCCCTTGGTGTCCGCAGCGGCTTCTTCGGCCTCGCCACCGTAGCCGAGCATCACAAGGAGTTGAGGTATCATCACCACCACCATGCTGACTAGGGCGCAGACGATGGTGATGATGGTCTTGCCCGGAAGTTCCTCTCCGAGCACGAACTTGCCCAGCAGCGCCGCCCACACGGGGTTGAGCGAGATTATGAGAAGCGCCATGGCGGGCTCGACCAGCAGCAGCGAGTACACAAAGCCTTGGCTGGACACCATCGCAATCATCGCGGCGACGAGGATCGCCTTATACGATCGCGCCACGCCAGCACAGAGCGGGCCGATCCCGCCAGAGTTGGCGGCGGCAAAGACGAAATTTAGGGTTGCAGTCATGATGAAGCGGAAGAAGGATATGGAGGCTGGCACCCCACCCGCCTGTGCTTGAAACCGGAGCAGCATCGCGTCTGGCGTTGAGCCAAGCATGCCCACCCACGCAATTATGAGCCCAAGCTTGCGCTTGCTCGCATCCGGCGGCGGACCGCCCGCTGGAGCTCCCATGGAGGGCGATAATGCTCGTTCGGCGCGCTGGGGGGACAGCAGCCCGTCGCAGTTCGGGACGGACGTCGCCCACGTTCTCAACAACCCTGATTTGGGTACCCGGAGGTCTGGGTAGAGCTGGACCGGCCGAATGATGTGTTTTAATGATGTATTAGGTATGTTATTGGCAAACCAAGACACAGAGCTCGTGGCGTGAATGCTTTAGCATTCTCGCCCGCTCTGCTGAGGGGAGGGGCAGGACGAGCGGTCGCCTGAGGCGCCTATCTCTATCCACCCTCTCTTGTGGTTGCCAGCGGAGCACGTGGCCAAGGACGACGTTCAGATCGCGCGTCCACTTGTTTGCGCACCCGCGTGCTCGTCCACGCCACTGTCCTCCCGCCCCCTTTGATCTCTGTCGCTAGAGCTCGACCGGCCGAATGATGTGTTACGAGTAGGTATGTTGTTGGCAAACCAAGACACAGAGCTCACACAGAGCATCACAGCGGGAGGAAAGCGGCGAGTTCCACCGGCGGAATGATGAGTAGCTTTCTGGGAGAGAGAGTGTGTGTCACACCACGCGGAACGCATCTCCATCGCGTCGGTGAACGAACGGGTGAGCGCGCGGGAGGATGGCGCGGTTGGTTGGGTCCGAACCCCTTCCTTCCTTCAACGACGACCGACCGACCGACCGAAGCGATGGATATGCGTTGTGTGTGTCGTGCCTTGCGGGGAGAGCGCGGAGAAGGAGGAACCTCATCGCGCTAGAGCGCACTCATGGAGCGCCGCCACCGCCACCCAGAGCGCTGCGCCTGCGGACAGCGCCAGGCGGATGACGGCTTGCCGCCCACTTGAGCGTTACTGTGCGAGTGGCTGGGTAGGGGTGCCTCGGTAGAGGCTGGCGCCTCAGTGAGCTGCCGAAGGAGCTCACATGCCAAGGTTAAATAAATAAATAAAACGGACACCTCTACTAGGAGATGGGTAAAAAGGAACAGGTCCCCGCCCTGCGGTCTTTGTGCAGGGTTCTTTGTGGGTGTGGTCGGCGACTAGCCGGGGTCGTCCTCCCGATGGGGGACTAGCACTAGCCGTCTTCCACATGGTCCCTCGGGTCCCTGCTGCTCCTAATCTCGTCGTACATCCTCCTGCTGATCTCAGCAACATCCTGCTCCCTCCCTCGTCTCGCCCTGCGCGTCTGCTCCGCCTCCCCGTCGTCCGCCCTGCGTCGTCTGGTGACGGGTCCTCCATAGTCGGTTGAGGTCGCCGCCCTCCTCGTGCCTCTTCCCAACGTTTCCTCGGCGGCCGATGCCGTCTGCTCCGACTCCGCCGTCCCCGGGTCTGCCCTGCCCTCGTCTGCGCTAGCTTCTGTTTCGTCACCACTGATGTCCCTCCTCTTCTTTCTCCTCTTCTTGTATGCTTTGTACATCGCGTCGATTCCTTTTCGCGTGAGCACCAGCCTGAAGCCCGCCCAGCAGCTGAACCGCTCCCTAAGTCGGAGGAGCATCATCAGTCTCACCCACTTCGCTTGCTGCCCACTGTCTCCGCTCCCTCCCGCTTGAGCCACCGTCGCGGTCCTCGTTCGTCCCACTGGCTGCTGGCCTGTCTGCACGTTACCTCCGTTATCCCTCCTCCTCCGCGACTCCCTCAAGGCCGGCCGAGCCTCCTTCCACCCAGTGAAGAGCTTCCTCAGCCACTCGATGTGTTCCTCTCTCTTCATTATGCGCGCCGTAGCCTCATCATTGAGCTGGGTCCACCTCTGCACCGCTCCCGTCGCCGCCTCGGCCACGACTTGCAAGTTCCTCGTGACCCCGGCGCCAAGGTCCCTCCGGCTCTTCTCCGAGAGATCATCTACCAGCGCCGGCAACACCCCCCCGACGGCTGGGGCTAGTGCATCGTACCCGTCCTCATCCAGCACCCTATAGCGTGAGCCCTTCAGCGCAGCGACATGCGCTTTCCTCAGCGTCTTCAGCGTATCCTTGGAGTCGGGTGCCGCCTGGGCTACTATGCCAAGGTTATTGGGTGCGAAAAAATGAAAAAGAATTAAGACACCACCTCTCCCCTTAAAAAATTCCCTGTGTGGTGCGGCGCGGAGGTGTCGCGGCCCGTACCGTCCTCCCATCCCTCCCGTTCCAAGTGCTCTCCAAGTTCCACGCGGCTCGCACACAACGTTCAGTGTGTGCAGCGCCAGCGGCTCTGTTGACTCGCTTTAATGTTAGCTACTGTTGTTGGGGAGCCCCAGCACTGTCGCGGACTCGCGGTGACCGGTGGTTCTGTGAACTGTGATCTGCGTGTGTGCTGGTTGTGTTATACTTGTTCTACCACACGCTCGAGTGCAACACTGCGGTTCAGCTCCCAACGTTAAACAGCTGAGCTCGGCCGGCGCAGTAGACACACAACTCACGCACACTTTGTATCTATTCTAGACTGACACTGTGTCCACGAGATGGGCTCTGTGGGACAAGTTCTGCTCGCAACGCCCCAGAGCCTGGTCGTCTCAATGCGACGACCAAAAAGAGTGCGGAAGGAGCAGCCACGAAGATTGCAACAATCCTGAGCAGCCATGGCAGATAATAGTCGCTCCCGTCGTGCGCAAGGGTGCCGGGGAAAATCTCGCCATAGCCCGCGCGGATCGCCGCCTTGCGCACCGGCTTGTAGTACTGCGGCGCAAAGGGGTTGTGCCCGCTCCAAGGCTTGTCGCCACCCGACCAATGGAGGGCGCAACCCCTTGCGACCTTCCCCGTCCACCAAGCGGCGATCTGCTTTGCCCACACCCGCAGTGGCAGCAGCTCCCCCTGCCCCCAGCTGGTGCCCAAACCGCCCACATTCCAGCAGGAATCGAGCCGCTGAAAGTCGTGCCCAAAGAGCAGCTGCAGCGGCACCTGGCTGCTCGGCGCGGCTCGCATACCGCCTGGGAGCGAGATGCCAGCGTACGAGGCGAGGCCGATCTCCTGAAGCGCAGGCACAAGCGCCTCGACCCGCTGCGTCAGGTTCTGCGCTCGCCACTGCTGGAGGTTGAAGGCGATGAGGCCGGCGTTGAAGGCGTCACCCCGCAGCACTGTGCTCACGTTGAGAACCCCAAGCTTTGACGGGCGGTACCGCGTGATGGTGCGCAGCTCCTTCTTGCGCGCCACGGCAGCAAGCGACTTTGAGCGGTTGGCGCCGACGAAGAGCTTCGAGAGGAGGTCGTGCACATCGGAGCGCACGATGATGTCCGTGTCGAGCCAGAGGACTGAGGAGGCGGCCTCCGGCAGGAGTTCGGGGAGGTAGAAGCGCACCAAGTTCATGGCGCTCGAGTTGCTCAGGTTGTGGAGCAGTGGAAACCGCTCGAGATCGACGACATGGATTGTGATCTCCATTCCGACCCTCCGGATCGCCTCTCTGCTCTGCAGGCTGGGCTCCGCCTCGCAGTAGAAGGCGTGCACATGGATGCAGTGCGGGCTGCGGCTGCTGCTGAAGATCGACCAGACCAGCGGCGCCAGGCCCGGCGTCTGGTGGCTGTCTGCGCCAACTGCGACATGCGAGATGTGCCCACACGACCGCGTTGGTCTGCGGAGACCACCTGTGGACCTGTTCGAGACATCGATGTGCTTGCGGGAAGCATCGGTGTGGCCTCCGCGCGGTTGGGGATGCTTGGAGAAGCTGACTTGGCCGGCGGCCACAACCGCCACCAGCGCAAGCCCCCACGGCATCTCACGGCGGGGCCGGGCGGGCACGCGGGTACTCCGTAGAGCCGCCTGCTTTCGTCCGGGGGGGGGGCGGGCGGCGTTCCTCCTTCCTCCTCCTATAAAATGAACTTGGGCGCACGGGACGCGGCACAAACGGGGCACTTAAAATCCCTGTGTGGTGGCGGCGTGCCGTTCTCCCATCCCTCCCTTGGGTTGTGTGTTTTCTTTCTTTCTTTAAACGGGGCACAAACGCCAGGCTACAAAGACGGGGAGGCACGTAGTCACCTTCCTCCTCCTCCTTCACTCTCCTCGACGGAAAAATTAGAGACAAAAGAAAAACGCGGGCGCCTCTTTCTCATGACCGATGCGCCTCTCTCCGCTGCCCTGGCCCGGATGGCCTTCACCGGCCAGCCCACCTCCTCCAGCTGCGACGCGCTCACCGCCTCGTCGCACGCCTTCCTCGTCGACGCCTGCATGACCTTCATCCGCACGCTCGGCACCGAGGCGATGCAGGCGGCGGCGCACGCGGGGCGCTCGCAGGCAAACCTGCTCGACCTGCTCGCCGCGCTCGATCTGCTCCGCACCAGCACGCCCCAAGACCTCCTCCGCTTCAGCAGCGTCGCTTCGACGCAGCCGCGATCCGTCGTGCAGACGGCGCCGCCGGCGGGGCTCTGGCCGTCGGTGACGGCGGCGGCCATCGGCCGCGACCGGAGGCACCCGCACATACCCGAGTTCCTGCCCGCGCTGCCCGCGGCGCACACGTACGATCGCGTCGCGCAGAATGTGCGCCGGCCTCGCGACGGAAAGGCGGTGCGCAAGGGCCTGTCGAAGATGAGGCGCGCGGCGCGCGGGCAGGTGACGGCGCTGGCGGCGCCGACGGCGCGGGCGGTGGCGATCGCCGCCGACGCGGAGGCCGCCGCGCTTGGAGACGGAGAGCCACACTCCCCGCAGCCCCGCCGCGCCAGCGCCGCCGCCGCGCCCCCGCCCTCCGTCCCACCTGTGGGCGCGGCGGCGGCGGCGATTAGTGCGGAGCTCGCGCTGCCGTGTGGCGCGGTGGAGGCGGGCGCAGGCGGGCCGCCGCTGCCGCCGCCCGCGGAGGTACCGTCCGGTCGCGCGGGTGCCTTGCTGCAGCTGCTGCACGCACGAGGCTTGGACGAGCCGCACGCGGGTGAGGCATGAGCGTGGGGAGAGGGCGCGACGCCCTACGCCGGGGGGGTGGGGCTGGTCGCAGCTTTATGATAGTTGTCGTGCCCGCGGCCGCGCTTTAGTCTTGTCGTTGCCTCGCTTTAGTCTTGTCATTGTTGCGCACACCCTTTCAAGCATCATTTCCGGACAACTAGTCACTACACGTACACCGGAGCGCGGAGGCGTGTGTGGCCGAACGGAAAACACAGAATATATAATGATTAAGCGAACGATGGTCGATGCATTCTGATTCTCTCCAGGTAGGCTTGCCGCTCACTGGCCGAATGCAAGCGCGTCCCACTCGAAGAACGGGGAACGCTGATCACCCGCCAGCCGGCCGCCGCGAGGAGGCGCCGCTTGAGCAGCCGCCAGCCGGTTGGCCCGTTGGGTTTCAGGGTTTGCGCACGCCCCGGCCGTCGGCGGTCGGGCAGCAGGTGAAGTGAAAGGGGCCGTCCACCTCGATCGCGATGCGTGACGAGGGCAGCGCCAGGTCGAGCGAGTGGCCGGTGCGCGGCTTGACATACTCCTCCTCGAAGCCAAAACGGATGGCGGCGAGGGCAGCCGAAACGGAGCGCTGCAGCGCCGAGACCCTCACTCGTGTGTCGTGCATGGCGTCGCAGCAGAGCCGCCGCTCGGACTCGGAGAGAAGGTGCTGCTGCGCGTCTGCGGCGTGTTCCAGGAAGAGCCAGAGCTGCCATTGGTGCAGCTGACAGCGCTCATCGATGCTACAAGTTAACCCGACGGACCCTCCCCAGGGAGCCGCTGACCACGCGCAAGCACTCGTAGAGCGCGTCCGCAGCCACGCCCGCCGTCGCATACGCCCACGCCGTGTTGGCCAGATCCTGAGGGTTGAAGCCGGCCGGCCCGCCGCGCACCGCCGCCTCCGCCACCGCCTCGTAGAGCGCGTCCGCAGCCACGCCCGCGGTCGCAACGCCCACACCGTGTTGGCCATGTCCTGAGGCGTAAAACCGGCCAGCCCGCGCCGCACCGCCGCCTCTGCCACCGCTGCGTAGAGCGCGTCCGCAGCCACGCCCGCCGTCGCATACGCCCACACAGTATTGGCCAGGTTCTGAGGGGTGAAGCCAGCCAGCCCGCCGCGCACCGCCGCCTCCGCCACCGCCTCGTAGAGCGCGTCCGCAGCCACGCCCGCCGTCGCATACGCCCACACAGTGTTGGCCAGTGCCTGAGGCTCAAAGCCAGCCAGCCCGCCGCGCACCGCCGCCTCCGCCACCGCCACGTACAGCGGGTGCACCAGCCTCGATCGCAGGCCGCACTTGGCGACGCCGTGAGCGATGTTCGCCAGGTTGCGTGCTTCGCATGACGAGACGAGGTCAAGCGTGCGCTGCACCAGCCGCTCAATGCTCCTCGTGCCAACGCTCGATGCGATGCTTGCCCGGGCCCAGTTTGTTCCACAGGTTTGCAGCGTGGATGTGTTCAAGCTCGCGCTGTGGGCGGCAAAGAGCGCGAGCAATGCGTCAGCGCTGCCAGCATTCGAGATCTGGCCGTTGATCTGCTTAGCATTGAGCTGACCGCCGGCAGCAGAGCTCTGTCGCTCGCCGCGCGATCCCGCACCGCGCATCGGCGGACTCACCGGCGGTCGCTGTGCTGAGGCTGCCCCTCGCCCCCGCCGGCGGTCGCGCCGGTCATGGTCGCGCCTGGGATCGTGGTACCGATCGTCGCGCCGATCGTGCCAGTCGCGCTCGCGCTCGTCTCTGTGTACCGGTCGTCGTAACGCTCGTCGGGCCAACGCTCGCGCTGCTCATCGCGCCGTCGCGGCTCATCACGCTGTCGCGGCTCATCGCGCCGTCGCGGCTCGTCCCTCCATCGCTGCTTGTCGCGTCCGCAGTCGCGCTGACGAGGCTCGCCGCGCCAGTGACGCTCCTGGCCGATCATGTGAGCTGGGTCCTCCTCATATACATATATATCTCTCCGGCCTGCTGCCCCTCCTGCTCCTCGGGAGAGAGAGATTTTTAGCAATACCAAACAACTCTAACACTCACGTTTTGTCTCCTCGGGTCCTTCCGGTTAAGAACTTGGATTCCCCCCCGGGTGTACCTACATTGTTGGCAAGTCAGGACACAAAGCTCAAAAAATCCCCAAAGCGGCGAGTCGCAATTCCAGGGGTCGTTGTGGCGGGCCACCCTGTCCAGAGAGGCACAGCTGCCAATCTTGGGTCTTTGACGTGAAGATTTTTTCTAAAGTGGCGCAAGCGCGAGCGCGCCGCGCCGCGATGAGTGAAGCCTCCGCGTTCGCGGCCGAAGACAGTCACCCTGCCGTGGCTGATGCGGCCGATGCGGGCGCGGCCGCAGCGGAGGAGGAGCGCGCTCTCCACGTAGCGATCGCTGCGAGCGAGGCGGCACGGCGAGAGGCGGAGGATGCGGCGGCACGGGAGGCGGCTGAGCTGGAGGCGGCGCTGGCAGCGTCGCTGGCGGCGGAGGGCGGCTCCGCCGCCGAAGACGACGAGCTCGCGCAGGCGCTCGCCGCCTCAGCTTCGCTCGCCGCCACGGCGCCGCCAGAGGAGGAGGACGAGGAGATGAAGGCTGTGCTTGCGGCGTCGCTCGCGGCGGCGGAGGAGGAGCGGCGGGTCGACGAGAACATCGAACGCCTCATGGGGACAGGCAGCCTGCCTCCGTGGTGGTGGTGGTGGTGGTGGTGGTGGCGGCGGCGGCGGCGGTGTGGGCGTCACCGTGTGGTGTTGCAGGAGGTCACACGCTGCGGCCCTCGCCTCATCAGGCGGTGGCGGCGATGGCGCCGCGTCCGCCGCCGCATCCTCGGCGTCGACGGACGCGAGCGCCTGCCCGCTCTGCATGGAGACGCTCGATGCGACGGACCGCAACTTTCTGCCCTGTCCGTGCGGCTACCAGGCCCGCTCTTTTTGCTAGAGACAAGCACAGACAGAGCGCCTTGCCGTGACGGCGTGTTCGCCACCGCGTTGACAGGTCTGCCTCTTTTGCTACGGCCGGCTGAAGGAGGACGGCCTGGGCTGCCCCGGCTGCAGAGAGGACTACGGCGAACCGAGGTACAAGCGTGAGCCAAAGCAGAAGCGCGGAGGCAAGCAGCGTGCGACTGCGGCGAGCTAAAATGCCACTTTTTCACACACGCTTTGAGTATGATTTCGCATCTCGAGTGGCGTATGTGCGCCGCGATGTTTCTGATTTCACTGAGCCACAGTGCCGCGTGTGACCTTGCTCTTACATCGTTACGGTCACAAACGCAACTCGGGGTAACACACGCCGGCGGCGGCGCAAACAGGTACACATTGATTCGGGCGGCCGCCGCGCTGCGCGGGACCAGGCTACCCGGTAGTGGCACTAGGCGTAAGCGGACCGGGGAGAAGAGAGAGACGTACGTCGCGCGGCGCGTGCCAGCGGGCACGAATAAATGGGCGTCGCCGACCGACCCCGACCACCCTCGGTGGGGCATGCGCGAGCGCGCGCGAGGGCGTGTGCGGGCCAGCCTACATGGACATGGCTGAGTGGCGTACACCGGCAGGCCGCGTCCTCAGACGGCGTAACCCTGCTGGAGCTTTTGGAAGTAGTCGTAGTAGTAGGTGCCCTTGTGCTCGCGCGCCGTCTCGATGACGCGCTTGAACTCGTCGCGCACCTGCGCCTCGGTGTGGCCGACGTAGAGCCGCTTGCGCAGCCGCGCGAGCACCTTGCGCAGCGGCGTCTGCTGGAAGCAAGGGTACCTCGAGCCGGTGCCCGCGATCTCAACCATCGTGAGGATCACGTCCGCGTGCCGGTGCGCCGCCACCATCGCCTCCACGCAGCCCTGGGCGTACGCCTCGTACCCCGCCGAGCCGACGCCGCCCATCAGCGCGACGTACTCGGCGGTGAGCTTCCACGGAGCTGACTCGATGACGCCGCCGATCTGCTTGCCCGTCGAGTGGCCGAGGCAGAAGCCAAAGTCGATGTGGAAGAAGTGGCCGAGCGAGTCGATCATCAAGTTGCCGTTGTGCCGGTCGCGCAGCAGCAGCAGCCACATGACGACCGAGTATCCCGCCAGCGACTTGATGAAGCGCGACTGCGCCGCGAGGAAGCCGTCGCTGTCGGGCGGCCCGTACCGCTGCACGAAGAGGGCGCGCAGCGAGGTGTACCCCGCCGTCTTCTTGAGCCGGTCGAGGTCCTCCGCCGAGGTGATCGTCTCGATCAGGCCCGTGTCGGGGCCGGTGGCCTGCGGGCGGTGGCGCAGGGGAGGGTTTGGCGGTGCGAGGTGCGGCCGACGCGGCCGAATCGCAGCAATGTGCAGCCGACGTGAGCCGAGAGTGCAGCCGCGGGGTGGCATGGGTGTGGCGAGGGGATGGTGTGGGGATTGTGTGGGCGTGGCGAGGGGCGCCTGGATGTGGTACGGCCGCAGCCACGTGAGCTCGGGCGGGAAGATCTTGACGAAGAGCCGGATCAGCTGCATGATGAAGACCTCCTGACGCAAGTCGTCGTTCGACTTGATGATGAGCGAGGCGAGGCACCAACCGGGCATGCCCGCGCGCTCCGACGTCGCCCGCAGCCGCGCCTCCTTGGCGTCCCACAGCTCCTTCTTCTTCTGCGAAAGCGTCAACGGCGCGCCGCCCTCCGCGCCGCCCTCCGCGCCGGCGGCAGCGTCGCCGGCGGCAGCGTCGCCGGCAGCCGCGTCGACGGCAGGCACCGCTGGCTGGCTGCTGCTCTCGTCCGAGTCGTCGTCGGGCAAGTCTCGGATGGTGCAGCAGTCGGCGACCGAGTAGCGGTGCTGCTGCACCTCGAGCACGGTGAGGATCGGGCAGCGGGCCTGCGGG